TCTCTCTCTCTCTCTCTCTCTCTCTCTCTCTCTCTCTCTCTCTCTCTGTATGTGTCTGCGGCTCATCTTTGAGCGAAATTTCTGCTCGGCTCAGCCAACGCTACGTGCGGCCATTCAAATTTGCTGACACATCATTTATGCTCGTAACTGACAGTAAAGGAGCATTTTTTGTCGTTGTACATGCATTTATTAGCTTAGGCGGATGCACATTATGATAACAAATCGCATCTCTCTACCCATTGCTTGCAGTTATCATTTAGTTTCATTCAAAAAAACATGCCTCACTTTCATTTACATTTTTCCGTTGAAATGCAGTTCTATTGTGTTGTTTACGTCTTTGCTTCAAGCGCACACATACATACCCATTGCGCATTGCAACCAAACAAGATGCAAAATCAAAGGAGGAGACCCATTTAAATGAATTCGTGTACTTTCCACAAAAATTTAATTATGCCATCAAAATGGTTTCTTTTATATTTATACCAACTGTTTTTTCTCTCTTGCCATTTCTGTGCGTAATCACGTTGGATGTTTTTCTCTCTTCGTTGTTTGTGTGTATGACTGTTTGTTGTTAATTTCCCTTTATTCTTTTTACAGTTGGTCGTTTCTCCTTTTGAATTTTATTCATTTGCTTTTAATCCCATATCACATTCCATTTGAGGTAGTCATTAGATCCATTTTTTTTCTCGTATCATTTACAACAATGCAATCGGTTTTATAGACGCAACAATCAAATGTATAATAACACATTAATGACAGAAATGTGATCCATATTTTTTTTTCTCTATTTCGTTGTGCTACGTTGTCCCAGAGCACGCGCGCACCTCACAAGCCCAACGCAATTTGAATTCGCGAAAGCATTTTCATTTTTCCAGTAAAACGTGTTCCATTAGCTGTAACTAGTTACATGCAGACGCACACATTGCGTATCGAATCGTTTGTTCAAATGGAAAGCTCAAATGAGAAATCACAAAATTAAATGTGAGCCATTTGCATTGTTTACATGAAAAACTATGATTTAGTCGGAGCATTTACAAAAAGCGATGGCAGTCGTTTTTTTTCATCGTCTTTTTCTGCTTTGGTTTTTCATGGATTTTAGTTCATTTCATTTTGGACAAAGTCAAACAACAACACGAAGCAAACGAAGAAGAAATTCGCAGACTTCCTAATTACACTCAAAGGCCCCATCGAACGGCCAATGTAAATTGTTCTATAATTGATGCAATCATTGTAGAGACAATAAAAACACTTGAAATTATGGTTGTTTTGATGTGAATTCACTGCGAAAATTCCAAATGTAATTAGCGCTGTGTGTATGTGTATGTGAGTTGTGTTGTGCTGCGTTACTGCGCGCGCCTTTCAAGAATTCCACCAAAGCAATGCAAATAATATAAAAGATTTTATAGAAGTTTAATGTTTTTGTATGCACTAGAAAATATCAACAATAAATTTCGAAAATTTCTCTTGCGCGTCAAACGCGTACATGAAATGTTCAGTGAAAAACTTCGATGCCGAAAATTAAATCTCATTTTGGCTGGATGTATGTAAAAAGTTCTCTGCGTGTGTTCCCACTCCCACACTCCTGCTCTTGCTCTGCAATCGAATCAAACACTGATTGCGAAACACTCAACTGGTGGTTGCCTTCGCTCTTCCCTTGCAACATTTTCCGAATAATTTGTTTTTGCGCATTTCACAAACGAAATTGCTATTGCACATTAAATTGGTCGGCGGGTGCACGATGAGTGAGAAAGAGAGAGAGAGAGAGAGAGAGAGAGAGAGAGAGAGAGAGAGTGAAACGATAGACAGATAAAGGGTTGTTGCAAAATTTAAGTCGTGCAAAACAGTTTTGTGGGCCAATTTTGGAATTGGCAGCATTTTGGAAGCGAGTTTTTGGGGATCGGTTTTTGTACAATTTAATGAATATCAAATTACAGCAAGACATACACACAAACACAATCTTCTCGGTTATCAAAGTTCTATCGTCGTTCTTTTGTCGCATTCCGT